ATCATCAAAGTCGTGGCGGGCGAGAATAGGAGGGTGCAAGTCCGAAGCTTGGCACAGTAGAGGAGGTGGCAAGGGCTAGCATGGCGACCCTGCCATCCCTCCTGTTACAAACAGTTTTTTTGGAAACTTGTTTTGGAAACTTTGCAAAAAGAAAGTTGTGTTTTCCCAGCTAGTGTTATCTATCACTGTGCGGGGAGGCACAGATTGCTTGCACGCACATACATAGAGACCCAGAATATAGAAAAAAAATCACAGCAGAAGAAGACAGATATTTACAGAAGAGCAAGACACAGATAATATACTGAGATACAGGAAGACACACAAATAATTTTATTCGGAGCATAAGATAGACAATATCATGAGCCACAAAAAAAACGCACAAATAATTTCATTCACAGCACAAGATAGACACAGGTATTTACAGGAGAACAAGACAGACATATACAAAAGGATTTACACACACGCAGCTCGCACACACACGCGCACACACACACACACAATATAAAGAAGAAAAATCAGATATTCATAGGAGAAGAAGACAGACAGACAGACAGACAGCACACAATTTTTACATAGCTCTTAACACCAAAGCAAACAGTCAAAGAGGAGTCCAGTGCACGCATGCAACAGAGGGAATAAAACACACAACACAAAAGGAGTGATACACACACACAGACCTTTTGTAGCACAGGAAAGATCAATATGAAGCGTGCTGGAAAGGCAGGTGCCAGGTCTTCTGGCAGGGGAGGGAGAGGGGGTAGGGGGAGAGCTAGAGCTGCAAGCCCCCCACCCCCATCCCAAACACGGCTGCTCAGGAAGGGAATGCATCTATGACACCTGTGCTGCCAGGGGAAGCAAGGAGGTGGGAGCAGTGTCTGCACCTGACATCCCTGCACCTGCACCACCTCCCCTCAGTCCAGAAGTGGGCACCAGCTGTGGCATCACTGTCTCTTCCACCCCAATGCCAGCTCTCAGCGTGAGCCTCCCACTGCCAGAGGAGGAGCTGGAGCTGGAACCAGGGATGCTGAGTGCGCTGGCTCAAGCAATTCTGGGGACCGAGGGGGAATCAGAGTTTGTGCTCCACACCCCTCAAGTTTCCCCTAGACCCAGGTCTCCTCCAGAAAGCAGCACCTCAGAGGAGGCTGAGGTTATCGAAGCAAGTGGCTCAGCTGAGGCAGCTTCTCCTGCTGTTGAACCTCAGCCTGCTGAGAAGGGGGAAAAGGCAGGATCCTCGCCCTCAACCCAGAAGCGGAGGAGTACTGTAGTGTGGGATCATTTTGAGGTGGCAGATGATCCCAGGTTTGCCATCTGCCAGCACTGCCAAAGGTACATGAGCCATGGCAGGGATGTGAGACACTTCACCACCACAGCCATGCTGCTGCATCTGAGGAGGCAGCACCCCCCTGCCCTTCTTCCTGCTGCTCAGCCTGGCACCAGTGTGAGTGTGCTGAAAGGGAAGTCCCCCACTCACTCCAAAGCCCCCTTACCCCCAAAGTAGAGGAAGGCCACCCTGGACCAGTCGGGGAAAGGTGGACAGAAAGGGGGGCATGTTCCCAAGGCGAGAGAGATCACCCAGAGCATTGAGAGATGCTTGCTCTGGATAGCCAGCCCTTCTCCCTAGTTGAGCAGCCAGGGCTCAGGCGGTTTGTAGCACTTCTGGCCCCATTTTACAAAGTGCCTGCACACACCACCTTTAGCAGGACAGAGGTGCCTTCCCTGTATGAGGCATGCAGGGAGTACTTGAGGGAGGAGCTGTGCAAGGCAGGACTGCACTTCGCCTTGCACTTCACCTCCGACATCTGGAGCAGCCGGGGTGGCGATCACGTCTACCTCTCCCTCACGGGGCACTGGTGCGCTCAGTCGGGCCGTTGGTGGGCTCTACTGCAAGCTGAGGTGCTGGATGAGTCCCACACGGCAAGGGAGATCATGGGGGCCATGAACTGCATGGTGCAGGGGTGGCTTGTTAGGCAGGCCGAGCTCGCCCACGGGTTTATGGTCACCGACAATGGGGCCAATATGGTGAAGGCTGTCTGTGATGCCAATTTTGTTGGCATCCGCTGTGTGGCACACAGGCTGCACCTAATAGTGAGGGATGTCTTGGAGGGAGACAGGGCTGCCAGTGATGGTGCCATACTGCTACAAGCCAGCTGATTTCGAAATGCAGGAAGGTGTTGAGGTACTTCCACTTCAGCATCAAGGGGAACAAGATGCTGCAGGAGAAACAGGCAGAGCTGAGCATCCTGCAGCACAGAATCAGGCAGGACGTGGAGACTCGGTGCAACTCCGCATACCTGATGCTCGAGAGGCTGGTGGAGCAGCAGAAAGCCATCCATGAGATGGCTTTGCTTAGGGAGATTGGGTTCAGTGCCCCCTGAACAGAGCTGAGTGGGGTACCATCTCCCAGATCTTGGTGGTCCTCAAGCCCTTCCTTGAGGCCACCGAGACCCTTAGTGCTGGCAATGGCCTCCTCAGCCAGGTGATCCCCTAGTGAGGGAACTGGAGAACCTCACTGGAGGGGACCAGCAGGGGAGATCATGCTTAGCGGCAACAAACATGGGTTCATTCGAGGCAGGTCCTGTCAGACCAACCTGGTGGCCTTCTATGACCAGGTCACCAAATCATTGGACGCAGGTGTCGCAGTGGACGTAGTCTTTCTGGACTTTAGAAAGGCCTTCGACACTGTCTCCCACCCCATTCTCATTAAGAAATTAGGTGACTGTGGGGTCGATGCCTGCACAGTCAGATGAGTCGCAAATTAGCTGGAGGGCTGAACCCAGAGAGTGGTGGTTGGTGGGTCTTTTTCGACGTGGAGGGATGTGGGCAGTGGGGTCCCCCAGGGCTCGGTCCTCGGGTCCACACTGTTCAACATCTTCTTC